TACCCGCACAACGGTGCGGGTCAATCACCTAATTATAAATATGTTATATTAAAATTGTGAAAAGTAGATAATAATTTATGGGATAATTGCAAAAATATCACTTTTGGTGTGTTCATTTTCAAAAATGCCACTATAGGTTGTTCATTTTCAAAAATGACATTAATTAAAGATTTTTAAAACTCAAATTTTAAATTCTAGACCCTTAAAAAGGTTATGATCTCAAACAAGCTCTAACCCTCAAAACTAAATTATAATACAACATAGTTAACATAAATATAAATGATATATTGAGTAAATAATTTTGAAAAAATAGTATTTTTTAAAAGTGGCACTTTAAAAGTGACATTTCTCAAAATTTCTCATTATTTATACTAGTACCTATTTTAAAAAGGTAAAATAATAAACGTTCTTCCAAATTTCATTAAATAACTTCACATGGGAAATTAAGTCACACTGCAAATATTACTAGTAGTTTGCTTTCGGTGTGAAGCTAAGTAGTTTTGTAGTGTAGTCATTACTACTAACCTTGACCTCGTTATATTTATCTTGTAATTTTATTTTGTAATCAAGTGATTAACATTAATATAATACCCGATCTAGCTAATCCAATCCTCTTTCTTCTTCGATTTTACGGAATATAAGTAAACTACAATCTTCTGATTTTGACTTTTAGTAATTGCTATGTAGTCGCTTTACTTGCTGTCTAAGTTCGATAGATGAAAAAGATAGGTCGTAAAACCGAAAAATAAAATAAAACATTTGAAAATGGTTGTAGTGTTTAATATATATTGTTTGGTCCTCTTTGAACGGTTTCTACTGCTTCGGGTTTGGTTTCTCTGCGACTTTTGTTTCATGACTTTACAACTTCTCTGCGCCAACTGATCCTGGATGAACATCCAACATCGATATCACTTCGTCTGCTCCGTTAACCTCCGGGTAAATGTTGAGCGGCGGACTGAAAATCTTATATGTTTTATGATCTCCATGTTTTTATCTTTTTTGCCGTGGAATCATTTACTAGGTTTATAACTAGCAATTGTAAACTTGAACTTTTTCATTCATGAATGAAATATTTACCTTTTAGAAACAAAAAAAAAATCTACTCGAAAGCAAATTTAGTATTGTGCGAGTGTTGACAAAATATGAAAAATATATTTTGGTGATAATATCGACTAAAACATATAGACACTGAGAGTAGCACAACACACTTTACAAATTCATTCAGAACTCTTGAATTTCTCAAACATATTGGTTTATAATGTAGTTAAATAGTACTGAAACTCCTATAATCAATCAAATGATTTGATATCTAACAAGTATACATAACTGAGAGTTTAAGATCCACCCACATAACTGGTTATTCATAATCAACTACGAAATTTGACTACCAAACATTGGACCCACTTGAAATACTTCATGGGGTTTATCACTTAGACTCAACTCTCATATCATCCTCAATTTCTTCCTTGTCCCCATAATTTCAACAAGCCAAAATATATAAATAGAAAAAGCAATTTTGAGAATTTAGAAAACACTCATGGGTAGTTTTGGAATTGAAAAATTTATACTTTTGTCCCCCTCTCATAAAACTTTTAATAAAACTAAGGCCAGGAGGTGGTTCACTTTATATATTTGCATTGTATTTGGGTTCTCTGTACCAATTCTGGTGTGTTGCC